CTAAAAAAATTATCCTTTGCTTTAATGAGCATTCCTAATGAGACCACATGTAATGAAACCACCTCCCAGTTAGCTCAATTGGTTTGAGTGCTGCACTGTCGTGCAGGAGGTCAAGGGTTCGAGCCCTGGCCAGACCAACACTCAAGGTCTTAAAATAACTAAGGAGAATGTGCTACCTTTCTATAATAACAAGAAATGAATAGACATTCTAGTCTTCCCGGATAAGGACGAATTAAGCGTAGGTCCAGTCTCCTGCATCTATAATTATTAGTTAATTAGGTTAGGCAGGGGACATTAAAGAGCCCAAACACGAGATCACTGTGATGTGGTCTGGCCGGTTTACTGGGAATTGGGGGAGGGGGAATCTTCAAATAAGTTTCCTTTGATTAATATTGTAAACTGCTTGATGCCTTCCAGCTAAAGTCCCCCGAAAGTGTTGTGATGTGCCCTCGAATATTGTATACAAAAAGTACAATAGAAGAAATATATATTATCATTATTAATACGAAAGTTTTTGGCAAGGCAAGCAGTATAAGTTCATTGCAAGGCATAAGGGTTTCTTGTGTGGTCATGTGAATCAACCACATTTGCCTGTCAATAAACCTTTCATTTCCTTCAGGCCCAAGGTCTGTGAAAACTTGTCTTTCAACCTAAAAGGTGGTGTGCAAAACAGTGCAGTGCTTATGAATCATTTTAATTAAAAAATAGTTCACACAGAACCAGTGAGATCAGAATATCCTGGACATACAGTTTGATTTCAAGGCTGTGCTCTAAGGAAATTTGAATGGAGCCCAGTGCTCTGAAACTGTGAAATCCAGGGTGCTAAGCATAATTATGCTTGTATGAAAAAACTAAAAATTCCCAAGTCACCCAAGAGCAAAAGTAAGGCACTGGGGCCCGCCAGGCACTGCTAAACCACAGCCTTGGATTTGTTGCATAATTCCCTTACCTCAAACCAATTCTGTCCCTGAACAATATTGTGCCACACTCTGTAAACCTACCCCTCCCTTGAAGAAACTTGAAGCACAGCACACCCTCTTGACTTGCTGTCTGTGAAGATTTGCTGTCCATGATGAATCAATGGAATCCTCTCAAGGTTGTATTCCACAAAGATATCTTTCTTTGCTTTTTCTTCAGCTAAACAACCCAAGGAAGTGGTACTGGGAAATGAGTGTGACAGTTTTTCATCTTTTTCTTTCAAAATCATGTTGATGAGGGGGGAGGACATTGGGGGCGATTGTGCAATTGTGTTTCCAGTGCTGAATTCAGACGAATTTGGAGGTGAACGGCATATTTTGTGAGTGCTCGTTTTCAGTAGAATGGGTTTCGCTCCACTAGGTTGGCAAATAAAAGCTTCACCATCATCTGTCATTGAAAACACAAGCCAATCCTTTTAAGCTGCAAATTTATGATAATCATAGTAACAGGTACAAAATGACTATAAGTCAATCACTTACAGGTAAGATTTTTATTAATAAAATAGAATGCTACAAAAAGAATCATTACTAATATTAAAAAAAGTAAACTGAAAAACAGTGAATTACACAATGTAATTTTACAAAACAGTCATTGCTAATGTTGAAAAAAGTAAACTGAAAGACAGTGAATAATATGTGACCCTCCATGGGATTTCAGGGAATAAGGTGAACGCACGCACACGGCACGTTATAACACGCTCGCACGCTAATGACATGACACACGCTTACTACATACAGTATGCGGATGACACAATTGACACAGGAGAGCGTGTTCGTAGCCATTGTTCATATCTGGTTAACACGGTAGAGCTTTGTTTTTGTAACACGCTAGATTTTTTGTTTTTCTACGGTAGAATCCTTAACACGCTAGCTTATCTTATACAACCCAACTTACTTCGTTAGTTGTGTTTGTCAGCTTCTTATTTGTGAGAATGGTGCTTGTAAAGTATATTACTCATACAGTATATAAACGAAAATAAAGAAAATCTACTGTCCTATTCCAAAGTTTCAATAAAAAAAAGCAAACATTCACGGCAATTTACGGCTCTTTGTCTCAGGATTTTCGCAAGTAATTCAGTGAGCAGGACGTGTTTCACAACTAGGTTCAGAGGAGCTCAGTTTGCACACATGAATTATTGTTTACTAAAACTTCTTACCTTGTAAAATATAAATCCTTATTGTTTCACCCAATTACATGTACTAACCCCAGTATTGGATCTTTGTGGATCCTTTAGGAACAGATTTCTGGCTTCATGCCTCCTGATCAATGCGGTCGCCGCTCGTCACTCTATGCGAATCGGTGCTTGAAAATGAATAAGCGCTAGTTAGTCGGTGCAAAACGAAACTTTCCGAACGAGGCTGCGAATTACTGTACGGCGATCTTGGCATCTAACGAGCTCTTACTCTTTAGTGCTGCGGTATATACGTTTCGTAACGCAACTGTAATGCGAGGATAATTAAAATCAAAATTGTGGAAGGTATGGTATTAACGAGTTTTTTAGTTCGCAAACTGAACAAACCTAAAGTTAACTCCTCTGGACCCTGTGCGTGCATTCACTTGCTTTTGAGAACACAGTTTACAAGCAGAATGATAATTATTGTGAAAAAAATATCAAAGTCTCCTAAATGGTTGTAATTTCAGACGTTTCGGGTGTATTAACCTTTCCTCATGGTGCGAGACAACTGTTAAAATACTCC